TGATTCTACATGGGGTAAGATGTCGAATAACCTGAAAAAAATTCATAGTTTGAGTGCAGCTTCTTGAAGTTATGAAGGTTTTTCCATGCCATATGCTAATGCGGTGACGTATGAGGAGGCATTTATGGTTATTTGTTGTTCCTTGTAATTCAAAACACCGGCTTCTATGTGAACAATAGCTTGCAATAATTTCTATAAGAGTAATGGGCAAAACAATGACGTATTTCAAATTTAATTTATCTGTGCCAGTAAGGTTTTGTATATTAAATGATTACTCCTCATACATCACAACGTTAGCATATGGTATGGAAAAACCTTTACAACTTCAAGAAGCCGCACTCAAACGATGAAATTTTTTCGGGGCTTTTCCGCATCTTACCCCATGAAGAATCAATACTGTGAATATTGTCAGAAGGGTGATAGGCACTTCAATGGTTTCATTATTTGAATATTGAAATATATTATTCTTTCTGAGAATATGAAGACTCGGGATTCAAAATAATAACCGATTAAAAACTCGAATTCTGATTGGATTATGGTGTTCCTCATATGGAATAATCTTTAAAGGGGCACTAGCTCATAAATCTTCCGAAATTTAATGAGGCTGAAACTTCACTGGAATAATTTTTAAGGGTCTAATAATCACTGGTTCAAGTTTTTTCTTTATATTCCAATGGGAAGTATTATATTTTTACGAATTTCTATAGGTGTCTGTGACATCGTACACTCAACACTGAACATAGCACTATACATTTCTTTACAAACAACTTCATGTTTTACTCATTTCCTATTCACCCAAAAGGTCCGCTGAGGGATTTAATGTACATAACTTGTGGTTAGAATCACTTTATGGTAGAGTGATTTTCACAAACCCGTGAAATAAATGTTAGCGTAAGAATCATTAATACAAACTAATACGAGTTATTACTCATTAGACTTAATAAAAACGAAGTAATAAAATACGGCCAATAAACTTTCACTGCAATACTTAGTTGTCTCACTAATAACCGCTATTATACATTAATATGCGTTAATAGAAGTTAATAGCTAAATTTTGTTTCACGGATTTATAAAAATCACTCTAGCTTTCCTTCAATACTTAGTATAAAACTAGCAGATATTTTGATTACAAAATACAAAAGGAATGTATGGAGGGATGTTTATAGTGTTTAGTGTATGACGTCATAGACACCTATAAAAATTTGTAAAAATGTAATACTTCCCATTGGAATATAAAGAAAAAACTTCAACCAGTGATTATTAGACCCTTGAAGATTATTCCATTGGAGTCAAATGCCGAATTCAATTTCGTAAATTTTTTACATGCTATTGCCCCTTTAACTGAGGAATATTTTTATTGCAGTTCTTTGATTGACAGATGTTGAAATACTAGTCGGCAAACGAGACATCAAACATTGCTGGTAGCACTTTCGAGACAATAATAGTCTAGCAATACATGTATGAAGAATAACTTAGATCTACAGTATGTAAAACTTTATTCAAGCCATTAACACAATTTGATACATAAACTTGCATGAAAACGTAGTCATTCACTGTAACACTGTTTCAGTTCTTGATCCAAGTCTTGAAAAGTTTGTTTAATAAACCACAATCCAGTTGAATATCCATCCATCAATGGTATTTTCTGTTCAGTGAATGGGCTGTAGAGAAAAACATAAAAAAATTGGAATAAGAAGAGGTATTTAATAAACTAGCTAAAAACTAGTGTGAGCTGAGTCTGTGTTTCTAATGAAACAGTAATGATAAAAAGGTAAATTATACACCGTGAAAAGATGAAAAAACTTTCTGACATTTCGGACATTTCGGATTTCGTCGGAGTAAAAGAGAATTGAAATGATAATTTTACAACTCAGAGTTCTTTTCTGTGGGTACTCTGGTTTTCCTCCCTACTCAAAACCCAACAAGGTGATGCACAGCTCGAATTACATGTGAAGTCTGGTTAAGATGGTAGGCAAATCAATGATTCCTTGTCCTTGACCCACTTGTCAGGGCTTAAAATAATGGTCAGTGAGTAGGCAGTCATGATGCCTGGCCAAATTAGCTTCAGCTTGGCTACTGTATATCTTGTTTCGGCTCAACGAAAGGGGTTGAAATGACTGGCAGGTCAAAGATTTAGAAATTTTACTGGAAAAAGTTTTGTCAAGATATTGTCCAATGACTGGCCATTATTTTGTGCCCTGTGTGTTGACAAGAGAATCAGCCTCTGGGCTGATCTAAGTCAGGGCATGGCTAACTCACAGATAAAACCCTGAAACACCCTCTGGGCTGATCTAAGTCAGGACATGGCTAACTCAAACATCGAACCTTGAAACAACCTCTGGCTGATCTAATTCATGGTGCAACTAACTCACATATTGAGATCCCATAATTGAGTGCACTACTACTGTACATGCACAACACCACTACACTACCATTGATTCATGTAGCTAAATTAAGTAGGACGTGTGAGGAGAACATCCAAAACTTTGTAAGTCTTCGAATAACCCATTGCATTGTATTCTGACGTTACCTTTAATGTGAGAATAATCAATAGCGTAATTCACAGCCACTGCCAACATTACAGCATGCCAAAAAGGGGTCATCCTAGCATTTTTGCACGTCACATACTTGGCTCTGTAACTGTTCCACACTCGCGACATTCCTCGCCAAACATTAGTCACAGACGCATTAGCAGCAACATAATTTCCAATATTACGTAGCTTGGTATCTCCTAGAGACGTCATCTTTAAAGCAGAGCCTTAATTCGTCGAGAAAATGGAGTAAAAAGACGATAAAGTTGCTCCTTCAAGAAACTTTGCTCCAAAAAACAAGATGGCGGCTGAAGGGAAGAAATTATGGTCTGGAATTATCCAGAATCCCTCACGATATGTAATAACACAGGCATCCCAAGCATTTTATTTTTAAATATTTAGTTCTTTAAGAAAAATTTGCTTTATAACTTCAATATCCATAAAGAATTAATAAAATTAAAAAAAAAAAAAAAATCAAATAATAATTTTTTGCTTCGGTTTAGCAAAGCTTAATAAATTTGAATTTATTTATAAATTGGGCTACCTGTGGTTTTTGCCAACTTCACACAAATCAAAATGTTTTTCTATATTTTTACGTTTTCTGTTCTCATTCTTTCTGCTTTCTTTTCCTTCGTTTTCCTGAAGATTAGACGAAGCAAATTAACAAAGAATGTGTGTATCGTGGTGCTTGGTGATGTAGGACGAAGCCCAAGAATGCAGAATCACACGTTGTGTTGTGTGAAGGCGGGATTGAACGTCCATCTCGTTGGGTTTGGAGGTAGGAAGCATAACTTTGCTTTTTTAAAGTATTTTAAAGCTTTAAAGGGTCTATAATGTGATTGAAAAGTATCATTGAGGGTAGCTAAATTTCTTAATAAGTTGTTTTATTAAAAGATTTCAAGATGAAATACTGGCAGATCCTCTCCATCCCAAGCTTCCCTTTCGAACCCCCCCTCCCCCCCCCCCCCCCCCCCCCATTATCTGCAATTGGTTCTTCCAATTTCGCTCTCGTCCCTTCTAAACTCTAAGGATAAAGCTTATGATCTAAAAGAGAAATAATATTAAATGATGATATATATCTATATTTGACATCCTGTTATGGGGAGCCATTGCCACTCACAACTCTCAACTTGCCTGTTGATTCTTTGAGGAGGGAGTAAAGGCAAAGAATCTGGGAAAAACTCTTGTGGCAATGGAGAAAAAAATGCTTCATCATGGTGGTAAACTTATAGAATACCCCGCAAATCATCTGCACATACCTAATGACCATGACTTCCATTGTTGTATGCGTTGTTCTACAAAGAGTTCTGACAACTGCATATCATTTGCAGGGTATTCTATAATTGCTCTATCATGGTTTCTCTGCAGCTCAAAGGCTGTTCCAGGGTATGAGAGTGTAGGGGAGAGGGAGAAGGGGGGAGGGGGAGGGGAAAAGGAAATGGGAGAGAGAAAAGAGGAGGGGTCACATTTTTAGTATTTTTGATGATCAGGAAGTTAAATTTACCAGTGTGTACAGTGATGTTTTTTTTTAATTCTGTAAATGATTTCAGGATCCAAACTCATAACTGAACTGCAAGACCATAGGAATGTCTCGCTGGTCATCTTAGGAGATTTTCCAAAGTCACTCACAAGTAATATGTGATCAAATTTTAATTTTATGCTTACCACTTTTTTTCACTGCTACGCGCTGATTGAGACGTACAACAGTTGCAACAGGGAAATAGGGCAATACACTCCCACCAATCAGAGAATATAAAGGTACCGACCAATTTATTCGATTGATGGTAGTGTATTGCCCAATTTCCCTGTGGCAACTGTTGCCTCAATCAGCACGCAGTGAAAAGAATGGTAGCAATAAAAAGAGTGGTAATATTTCGTTTTGGGGAGGTTTTTGTCGCATGTTGCAATATACGACCGGAGATGCACTATGGGTGGTGCGAATGCAATCAGTGAAAGGTGTGAAAATTATGGAATTTTCCCAAACTTTGTCTGCACATTTTTTTGGCATACTTTCTTCTGTGGTGACATTATCTTCATATCCTCAAGGCTTGATTGGTAGGCAACATGCAACATGCAACATGCAACATGCATAATGTTTAATATCTACTCTCACATTGGTTATCCAATTTTAAGTTAGAGTAATATTCCCATGTTGTAGGTATAGTTATTGTACACGTGATAAATTTCTCCTCATTTTTTACTCATATTACAGGACTACCAAGAATGCTTTACTATGGAGTCAAGGCTGTTTATCAGTTTTGTCAGTTATTTATAGTATTATTCAGCTGTGCATTGAATAGCTCACATCTCATTGTTCAAGTGAGTTTCTTGATTTATGGTAGTTGCTGCCATTTGCATTGCTACGCAGCCACTCCAGACAAAAATCGTGACTTGCACTTTGCAATAGACTGCCGTCAATCAAACACGTTAACGTCATTTACACGTGTGTGTGATTCAAAAGGGGCTAAAATTTGTTGATTGTTTACAAATGTTATGAGCCACACTCACCGGGCCTATCTGGGCCGATCCAAACACGTGTAAATGACGTCAACATGTTTGATTGTTGACAGTCTATTGCAAGGTGCATGTCACGAATTTTGTCTGGGGTGGCTGCATAGCAATGCAAATGGCGGTAAGTCCTTAATTTCATTCATTTACAGCAGATTCAGTCACAGTGTTATAATTGCTGTAAATCACTTATCAGCGATATGTGTTTCCAATCACGTACAGTAGGGAAGTCAGGATAGCGCTGTGGCCTCACTTCTTACCTTTGAGGTTCAGGGTTCAAATCTCAATCATGAATAGCCCATGTGAGCTGAAGTTAGTTTGTTCTCTTTCTGATTCCGAGGATTTTTCCAGCCCTTTGGCTTTTTCTCTCTCCTCTCAAACCACCCATAGTTCTAAAACTGGTTAGAGTGATGGTCTAGGGTCATACATGGACTGTATAGGGACTGCTAGAGGCACCTTCACATGCTTTCAGTTCAACTCTGTTGAGCTGCGCCCCAGCTGTAATTTGTGGTGGTGATAAGTGATGACGATTCTTTTTAGAAAGCACCTGCATTCTGCATAAATTCACTCTCTGTAGCTCTTTTTGCAGAAACCTACTAGAGATTCCAAGCTATAACCATTCCATCTCATCTCATTCCATGCATCTCTAAGTTTTTTAAATTTCTGTTCCAGAACCCTCCGGCAATCCCTACTTTGGCTGTTGCCTGGGTTACATGCATACTTTGCAACTGCAAGTTAGTCATTGACTGGCATAACTACGGATACACTATCCTAGCATTAGGTCTTCGCAACCCACAACACATGCTACTCAAAATAGCAAAATGGTGAGATAAGAACTCTTTTAATCATTTTAGAAAATATCAATAGCAAATGTTGCTTGTATTACTTAATTTCTGCACACAATAAATTTCATCTTATTTGCATTGTTTTGCAAAGAAATCTTTGCAAATTGTTGCATGCAGAGTGGTAATACGAGCAGCATTTGCTCTGCAACTTGCAACACAATTTTGTTGCCTGAAATGTTGTTATGCTCGGAGTTTTGATATGATCAACATTTTGTCCAGGGCAAAACGTTAACGCTTGCAAACTCGCAAAATGCCAGTGAAATTTTGTATTTAGAGAGTGACAAAAATTTTAACTAGCTAAGTTTTGCGAGTATGACCACAGCCAGAAATTGAAGGGTTGAAAAGTTTAGAACCTGTATCAAGTAAAGCTCGTTATTCACCACGCCCGATCACTAGTGACTTTGAAATTTTTGCTAATGATAACAAATCTTACTAGCAAGGTTTTGCTAGTGGGTTTATAAGTTCATTCAGACCAGAATGCAACAATTTTATGAGACAAGTGGCATTACTGTTCATGTATTTTATTACCATATCACCACACTTTTAAGCTATTTTTGTTTATTTAATACTCCAATTCATATTAAATATAATTATATTTGACGTAGGTATGAACATGGGTTTGGTAGATTGTCATCTTATAACTTTTGTGTAACACAAGCCATGAAGGAAGACTTACTGCAGAACTGGCAGATTAGGTATGCAATCCATTATGAGAGAACAAATATTTACCCATAAATTTTGACCGTAAATTTGTACTGCAACCCGGTTAGTTCATTTGGTAAGACCGTCGGTCTGTTGTGCGGGAGGTGGTGGTTCAAGCCTCGGCCAGACGAACACTCAGGGTCTTAAAATAATTGAGGAGAAGGTGCAGCCTTTGTAATTACATCTGCAAATGATTAGACCTTGAAGAGGCTCCGATGACCACTTTAAATGGAAGTCCCGTCTCTCTACACTTCATCATTGCTAACCAATATCAGAGGGACATAAAAGAACCACTGAGGACGTAAAGAGAAACCCTGGCAGTGACCACCCTCAGTGCCTACACCTCATACTTACTAACTCTTGTTCATAACTCATTGTAAAGTGACTTTGAACATATCAATATAGGAAAGAGTGCTATGTAAATATCATAATCTTAGGGTTGATCCTAATTGTGATTGGTTTTAGAGCTGACACGCTATACGACCGTCCTCCAGAAAGATTCCAAACAGCTGATATTGAAACAAAACACAATGTAGGTCTTATTTTTAAATTTTATCAAATAAATATTTGATGGATACCATATGGACTACTGTGATGATATGGCAGGCATCTTGCCAGAGGGAAAAAACAAAACAAAGATGACACAAAATATATACATGTAGAGTTTCGTGTGTCTGTCTTCCTTTTATAGGTAAAGGTGATTGATGTTCCATTGTAATTCATCTTTTCAATTGAAAACATTTTCTTTAACAGTTATTTCTAAAGCTCTGCAAGGATTATCCCTGTTTTGGACAAACACAAAGGTATAATACACACAGTTAGAAAAATTGATTCTAACATGAAACAATTTATTTTAAATAATTAGTTCTAAGTAAAGGTGGAGACTCAGTAGGCAATTCATGGTTCTGACTCACACAATAGCAAACTAATCACTGTTGCAATAGTTTTTCCAGTGGAATTAAAATCTTGTCCCACAAACAAATACACAGTATCTGTTTTAAAGAGTACTACAAGGATGACGAGGCAATTTTATTTTATTTCACAATTGAAACAATGAAACAATTCATAATTAATTTCCAGTGATCAAAATCTTAAATTCTGAGATCTTCCAGCTAATTAAATTAGATTTTGAAAAACAAATTTTGTTCAGTTCATAGGACATAGCAACAGTAGCTAAGGGGAGCCAGAACAATGAATGTTTCTTGCAAATGTTACACATTATGAAGAAAATGTATTGCAGTTGCACCTAAAGTGGATATTTCACTGGGCAATGTTCCTTGCGACTTGTCTCACAATTTTGTTGTGATAAAAAGTGCATTGCAGTTGCATCAACAGGGGATGTTACACTGGGGAATATTCCTTGAGACATGTCTCACAATTTTGTCATCTGATAAAAAAATAATGCATTGCAATAGACCCCTTTCGAATTCCAAATTACCGCTGTGTTTCTTGATTACAGACTCATTTGCACAGGGTTAGCCTCGAGTTTGTGAAGAATATTCACGTGTTCCAGTCAAGGTCCGTCGAGTTTCAAAATGTTTGTATTGTTGAAGTTGTGCATTCTTTACTTTACCGTTGGTATTTGTGAATATTTAAACACTGATACGAGGCTAACCCTGTGCAAATGAGTCTGTAATCAAGGAACACAGGGGTAATTTGGAATTCAAAAGGGGTCTATTATACCAACAGGGTATTTTTCTCTAGTGTTATGGAAAATTCTCTTGATTGCTACTTGGATATTGCAAGTGATGCCTGTTATTCCTTTTGTTTCAGGCTTCCTGAATTTGCCACCAAAGTTGTTGAAGAAGTCACAGCATTTACAGTGAAGAATTCCAAAGGGATGGTTTATAATCGAGATGATCGACCAGCTCTCCTTGTAAGCAGTACTAGTTGGACAGGTACTTAATAATAAACAATTTACAGTGTATAGGGCCTATCCAAGTTTGCACTAGGCACTATTATTTAAAAAAATAAAAGACCCAAAGTGTTGCTCTGGCCGAGGCTTTAACCACCACCTCCCCCATGACAGACCAACGGTCTTTCCAACTGAGCTAACAAGGTGGCCTCTGTCCTTTCCCTTACATAAAAATTGAAATTTTACTTCCTAAGCAGAGTTTTTCAGGGCTCTCGTGGTGATGTTGTCTAGGGTCCATGTCTTGAGAATATGTTACAGGACAAATACTCCCTATTTTGGACAATATGATATCCCATTTTATGCTGCATGTCATTCTCTAGAGTATCATTTCTTTGTTTAACGGGTGTGCATGAGAAGACAAATGAATATGGATACAACTCAAACAAAGGTTCTTATTCTCAAAGAGAATGACACATGATCTGAAATGGGACAACACTATGCACAAGAACAAACACAGCACTCCCCCTCCCTCTCTTCTCAATCAAACTAGCCTTACTCCCCCCACCCTCCCCCTCCACAATTGTTGTTGCTATGATATATACATTGAAAGGCTAGGAAGGTACAGAAGGCAAAGGGAGTGAAAATGAGTATTTTGTAAAGATTTTGGGACTAGAGATATCTTCTATATATAATATAATATATATAATATAATATAATATATATAATATATATAATTGTATTGAATTTTCATTTCCAGAGGATGAAGATTTCTCAGTTTTATTGGAAGCATTGGAAGGTACCATGTTAGAAAATTAAAACTAGTCATTTTGATATGCCAAATAGAAATTCAACCAAAAACGTCACTTTGCTGTTAAATAGTTATTTTTTTGCTTCAGTGTACTGTTTTCCCATTGCAGACCACGTGTTATTTACTAGAATATCATTTCTTTGTTTAATGGTTGCGCATGAGAAGGCACATGAATATGGATACAACTAAAACAAAGAATCTTATTCTCAAGACCACGTGCCATTCCCTAGAGTGTCATTTCTTTGTTTAACGGTTGCACATGAGAAGACACATGAATATGGATACAACTCGAACAAAGAATCTTATTCTCAAGACCATGTGTCATTCCCTAGAGTATCATTTCTTTGTTTAACGGTTGTGCATGAGAAGACATGAATGTGGATACAACTCAAACCAAGAATCTTATTCTCAAGACCACGTGTCATTCCCTAGAGTATCATTTCTTTGTTTAACGGTTGCGCATGAGAAGACACATGAATGTGGATACAACTCGAACCAAGATTCTTTTTCTCAAGAGAATGACACGTGGTCTGAAAACGGGAGAACGTTATGCACATCATCATCATCATCATTAATTACATCGTTTTCATCATAATTTATCACCACCATCAACCCACCATCAATATCATTATTGTTATCATAATCTTTTATTATCATCATCATCATTGAACTGTTATTCTATGACATTTACATTCTCTTCCACAATATAAAGCTCTTTTGTTAATAAGAGGTCTGCTGAAGTTTTAGAATTTATTCTTTTCAATCTAGATTATGAAGAAAGTGCTTCAAAAGAAAGCTCAGGTTTTCCGAAGATAGTGTGTGCAATAACAGGTTAGTAATTTTATGAGGAAAAAAAGGGGTTTTGACAAGTATCCTTATTGCCAACATCATAATTATTAGGATATAGCTTTCAAGCTAAGGAAGGAAG